CTTCCGATACTATTGTGGAAACCTGTAAACTCCTGTTAACATGTGCAGTAGCATGAGCTGTCTCTACATTTAACAAAAGTCTACAGGTGCCATCAAGGTAAGATTTATGATTCAACAGGAACTAGCAAAATAAATAGCGAAAGTACAAAAAACCCCTCCCAAACCGACCAGCGCTGGAAATTCTTCAATTCTAAGCTCTCGAATACGGTTTTGTCGGTTCAGAACAGCAACGATGGCAACTGCTGAAGAACGATTCCGATCTGAACTTGCCAGCTATCAAGTGAAGTCTTTCGACATCAGACTCTCTGATGGACGTGAAGCGGACTCTGACGTTCCTCTGTCGTCTCTTGGTGATCCACTAGCTATTGTCTGTCGGTTGCATAAACTGACTGCGGAAATGGTATATAAGAATAGAACAGGTAAGTTTCCTCCGAAGCAAGGAAGAACGAATTGCGTGGATTGTATCCATCCATTTCCTGAGCTTTCGTTCCTAGCTGTCTGATCAGAGCGCTGTTAGCAACTGGGGAAAATTTTTGCAGAATACGACCGCCTCCCACCCAAAATTTTCTCCTGTGGTACAATCTTTTCTTCCCCATCACATCTTACGTACAATCCTCCTAAAATTTCTCGACTTCCTTATTTTTCTCTTACTTTTTACCAGGGGTCTCTCAAAGTGAGGACGTCGCGCAATTTCAATCTGGAAAACTCGATTAAAAGTTAGCTGCGAAAACGTTTTCTTTAAAGGCAGTTGCAGACCCCCTGGCTTTTCTTATACCAAAACGACCCCCCCCCCCCCACTCTATCGCTCGGGTTTCCCCCCATTGTACGCGCCATAAACGTTTATCCATTTTCTTAGTGGGGGGGAAAAAAAACCTCTGTCAGGAAGTGAATTGCGGGACGGTCCTTGTTGCATCGTGCCGATGTGCTAAAGTGCATTGCTAGATTCGATGCATCTGGCGTACTCGACCCTTCGTCAGCTGCATCACAAAACCCTGGCTCGATGAACTGCCTCCTACCTTCTCCCAAGTACCCATTCCCAATCTATAGCAGTGCTGGGTTCGCTTTTTCTTTTCATTCTTCGTGGTGCAGGTCAACAAGAATTTACTTTCAAATACTTGGGTCTGGGTCTTACGCCCTGGGTTCGCGTTTAGATCGAAGAGGTAAGCCTATCTTGGACCCGCCCTGGCAATAACGTTGTTTAGTCGGTTTGCCCAGGACTGACCACGCACTGCCATCTTCCGAATGTACTTTCTCAAACCACCAGACTTGAATCGCGTTTTGTTTTCTGATGAGTAGTCGTATTGCTTTTTGCTGGCGCAAATTGAATTCCCAAATCCACTCTGAGGAACACAATCAAATAGCAGATGCGGCAATAGATCTGTGCTCGGCTCCCTCCTCCTTTAGTTCTGCCTAGTGAATACAATATAGACTCACGGTTCGCCGCAAGGGTAGGCAAGAGGGTTCTACTGGTTTTTGAGTTTCGTGTTTTTGAGTTGAATTTTCAGTTTTTTTTAATCGTAAACTGCTATCTTTTTGTTTTATTTTGCTTTTTTTAACTGCGGTTTGAGCTGCTACTAACAATCTTTCACTGCCCTGTCAATTTTGAGCGCACCCAGAGTGCAGTAAATAAATAAGTGAATAAATAAATAAAAAAGCGAAGATATATCGCCGGCCACTTGACATCGCGCGAGACATCCGAGAAAGCTTTAGCTGCCGAAAACGTTCCTCTCAAAAGGCAGTTGCGACCCTTCCTGGCTTTCCAATACCAAAACGACCCCCCCCCCACCTCTCTCGCTGGGTATCCCCTATGTACGTGCCCTAAACTTTATCCATTTTCTTGTGACTGTGTCAGGAAAGTGAATTGCAGGAGGTCCTTGTGATCGTGCCGATGTGCTAAAGTGCATTGCTAAATTCGATGCATCTGGCGTACTCGACCTTTCGTCAGCTGCATCAGAAGGCCTCTGGCTTGGTAGAAGACGTCCTCAAAGCTGTTGTAGATGCGAACCGTTCTGTTAGCCGTCTTGTACTGGATGGGTGCGGTGAGTTGAACATACATTTCTTGTTGGTCGAAACAGGATTAAATGTCAAACTTTTACTTTATTTGTTTCTATTTTGTGGCTAATTTCGGCACAGTGCGACTTGGTGTGGGCACCGAATGGTACTCAGTTAAGCTTGTACAGGCCACTTGTAAAGACCTGTTAATTCCTGTGACCAAAGTGGCTCACTGGGACATTTTCGCAGCTTCACAGGAGTTCACAGGTCTGATCAAAGTGAGACCTTTTAGGTAACATGAACCAACAAAAGGACCTAGCGAAAGTACAAAATGCCCTATGTAAGCCGTACAGCGCCCTATTTCCTATCATTCTAGATCTCACTAATGGTGTTCTGTCTTCTCTGGCATTGGTATTGCCCCATGTAGAAAAATTCAGCTGCAAATATGCAGGGTTTATTGACAGCCATCTTACGTCGCTAGATTTGGTACGTCAAGAAAGTTTATGGTTCTGTAATTTTATTATTAGTTAGGAACTAGTCTCTAATTTACAGGGTTCGCTCCCTCTACGTTCGATTGATCTCTCTCATAACGAGTTCAGTTCGGGTTTTGCTCTTTCCCATTCTCTTCTGGCCAATTGCTCTCAACTAACAGAACTACGTATCAGCGATTTGGAAATAACATCCGGTGAAGAAGCACTTGTATCGGCTGTATGTGGTGAGATTTTCATGTATTATATTGCGAATCTAAAAGGGAGGGGTAAGCGAAGGGACTAGGCCACGTTCACCTAGTCGTCTGCACTACCTTGTGGAAGGGTGTAGCCAAGCGAGACTGAAATCAAGCCGCCGCCGCATGTCCCTTCCCCAGCTGCAGTAGTTCCATCTATTGCTGTAATCCAAGACGAGCATAAAGTCGTTATCACAGAAGTCATTCAGGGCCTGTCAGCAATGAGTGGATTTGGCGCGGTGCCAACTCGTTTCCTACTACTCACTGAACAGTTGTTGATGGAAAAGGGGCTGATACTGCATCAAAACCACGCTGCGCTGACACGCCTCCGACTGCTTCCAGTGTAAGCCGAATTGCGCTGACACGCCCCGACTGACTTCAGTGTACCGACTGTAGTTTACTCGGTGGTCCTAGTCCTACAATAGCGAAGGACAAAAACAGCGAAGGTACTATAGAATAAGAAAATTCCCGCTCATTCAAACTATTGTCGAAAGGCACGTGCACGCTGATTACAAGGGGTGGAGTTACTTGGACCAGCGCGTTTCCTTATTGGTGGGCCATACTGAGGGGCACACCTGTGAGAAAGACACAGTACTTTAACTCCGCCCAAACGATCAGCACAGAATATGCCCTTAAGGGATAACAGAACCCTGGACAGCACATTGCATCCACATGAACGATTTCCTATGGTTGAAACCTCATTTACTTCCAGTATCGGACTTTTGGGGTTTCAGGCTCCAATAGGCTCACCTCCTTAGAACTATAGAATAGTCGTTGAACTTTCCTTGCAGTTATCCTATCGAATTAGTGATTTGACATTATCTATTTCAGGGTTGCCTAAATCTTCAGCAGTTGGACGTCTCCTTTAATAGTTTCATTCAAGGAAGTACTGTAGAAAGTTTGCTGTCATCATGCGAGAGTCTTACCAGTCTTCGAATAGATGGCTGTGATCTGAGTGGCGTTTCTTTTGTGGTACGTTTTACGATCGTTTTTCAGGCAGTGTTCAGACTTCGCTTTGACGCGCGTCAACGCGCTGTAGCGTGCTGTAAGGACGCGCGCTGAAACGCAGTCTTGTTACAGAGCTCTAATCCTCTGGAGGCGAACGCAGCTGCATTGGCCTCTAATCTCGCAGCCGGAATCGATCGGCGTTGCCCAAGCGGCCAGCGCCAATCGATACCAGACTGGGTGGTTAGACAATTTGTACTTCCAGTTCCCTCATACTCTCACAGCGCGTCGACGCGCGTCATCGCGAGTGTGAACGCTGTGTTGTCTACCAGTGATTTTGGTTTCATAGTAGGGCTTAATTTCAGTCCACGTGGTTACCCAGCCTTCGTGAATTGTCGATGGTCGGCTGCCGTGTGACGGACTTCGATTCGCTAATCGAGTGGATGAGCATGGGATGTGTTAAGCAGCTGGACCTTTCCGCCACAGACATCGCCTTGTGTCACGTACGTACGTTGGTCGAGTCACGTCTGATGTGCCCTGCCATAGTAGTTCGACTCGTCAGATGTCGTGAGGTAGAGCGTGATCCTCGAGCATTTGCCGATATGGTTCTAGCTTTCGTCACTGATCACTCCTTTCCACTTCGCTTCGGTTTCTCCGCTCAGTTTGCTTCTTCTATCCAAGCAATTACTGCCTTTGCTTCTAATTTCCTCATCTAATTCACTTAAAGTAACTTGCTGGTCATGTTGTAATATGTTCTACGTGTTTCTCTTTGCTGTATAGATCTCGCTTATGGGTGTACCATTTGTTCCCGCTGTACGCCACACAAATTTGCCGTTCGTCGCGCACGACCGTGACGTGGCTGCGTTGGCATGGCGCTGCGCCACACTTCGATTGAGTGGCGGTTTTTTTAATCGCCCAGGTTTTTCGCGACTGCAGCTAACAGCGCCCCACCGCTAATCATTGGACCGCAGCACCTGCTAGTTCAGTCACATTCGAATAGAACACGAATGAATAATTGCAGCGAACTAGTGATTATGGACAGCCCTTCAGACTTTTTGCGCATGACGCGGCGTTGATGCGGTCTACACCACGCAATGGCGTTCCAATGCTATACACGGGAACGGAGCCGCTGAAGAGTATCGATCGGCGCAGGCCGCTTGTTTTGAGAGAGTATAGGATAATAGGAGGGTAAGCACTGCCTTCACAGAGGCACGTACCTGTTCGTCTATACTCTCTCGAAACAGAAGCGTACGGCGGCGATCGATTTCCCTTTGCAGCTGCGTTCCCGTCTATCATGGTGGAGCACATTGCAGTGCTGAGCGAGTCGACTACGGCGCCAACGATGAAGTCCTGAACGGCTGTCTTACTGTAAGAAGCCATTGTCGTTCGCAGTTGGGACGCAAATCGTTGGTCGTGCTGTATGATCAAGACTTACGACGACTTGTGATTTAAACGCTCTCGCGGCGAATTGGCGGCGGAAAGTGGATGGAACAAACACCATCACAGGCGCTACGGACCACGAAAAGAAGTTGCTCTTTCAGCGGGACCAAACCACGTCATGTTCCGGCGCAACAGAGCCACATCACGCCATCTCGGTGAGAGGGTGCAGACGTGCAGACATGACGTAGATAAGCCACCGCTGTGGAGTAACCTCTTGCGAGGCTTATTGCGCCCGCGACACTTTTCTTAACTCGCATATCCTGTCCGGTTCACTCTGTTCTAGGGCTCACAGATAAAATTTCAATCGTTTGGAAAAAATAAAGATAAAGTGAGTACAAGAGAAAGTTTAACAGATGACTGGCTAAAGGTCCTGATTATCAGTTGGCATGTATTGCAATGAATAATAAGCTACAACTCTATGAAATGTCGAATATACAGGAAATGAATGCACTCGTTTAACAATGTTGGAACTGTCCAAATGGGAGTCCGTACAATGGTGAATGGATGAAGGCATTGGGAGATGGGGGGTAGATACTCGTGTAAATTTGGTCATCATGCACTGAGTGCTATTACTTGCACTCTATTCCGTTGTTCGGCGAAAGCAACACACTGCTCGATTAGTTCCACCAAATTACGGTCGGATAGCGATCGAATTCGTTTATCCAACACCCTGAAAAACTGTTTATTTAGTAGGTGCGGTGGATTGGGTGAGAGGCGCATGTTCGCTGCGAATGAAGGGGCGTGCCAGTTGGGCTGGGTTTGGCGCGTAGCCAGCCCGCTCTTTAGTATCTGTAGAAGCGGGTGAGGGACAACAGTTGGGGAAAACGACTGGTATGAACGATACGATACAGTCTTGTCGCTTGTTCCAAGAAAAAAGGAAAGAAGCGGGCTAGCGCTTCGCCGAACCCATCACCCTTACACGCCCCATCGTCCGCAGCGAACAAGACTGTAATTCTTTCAAAATTGGTACTTACTCACTAAGGTCAAACTCGAATTCATCCGCTAATTATGCGCATGTCCTAGAAAGTTCGGTGAAAGTCAAAGTCAATACATATCGATTTGTAAAAAAATCTCGATCATCCGTTTGGCGCCAGGTATGCCTTAAAGTCACAGTCCGCGCTGGTCATATGGGCGGAGTCGGACCTACGACTGTGCTTCCTCATAGGTGTGTCACTCCTCTCTAAGACGTTAAAAAGGACGTGCTAATGAGGAGGGCACAATGGTAGGTCTGCCTACCCCGCATTATCAGTGCAGACTGCGCTTCTGT